TGGGGATTTTTTTTAATAAGGCTGGAGGTAAGGGAGAAGGAAGAATTTTCTTTTAATAAGCTGGGAAGCGTTTATGATTATTTTGACCTCCAAATATGTAGATTTTACTGTCCTTTCACCTTAGAACTTTGAAGCTGTACTATTTTACTTATGAATCAGTCAGTCCATGCCGCTGTCTCTGAAAAGACCCTCTGTTCTTGATATGGCTTCTGTGTTTTGTTCTCTGGACCTTTTAACAATGGCTTGATATTAAAGGGAGGTTGTTAGCTGTGTTAGTCTGAAGTCAGGCAAAAAGCAGCGTAAATGTGTACCTTATAGACTAACTAAATCAGAGGTGCATAAGCGTTGTAGATTACCCTGCCTTCTGCTTGATATTAAAGTAAGCTGAATCACATGTGGTAGGTATTCATTGAGAGGAATAGTTTGGGTGGCAGCAGTAGTCCTTTTTTGTTTGCACATGGCATGGTTTCCTTCTTGTCTGCATGTTCCTTTTGTCTGGAATGTTTGGAGACATTCATAGCTCAGCTTACCAAGTAAACCTGAATGTTTTCCTATTGGCTTGGTCACTTTTCCATACATAAATATTTGCCACCCTTATCATAGCTCGTAAGAATGGTAGGCAGTCATTTTCTGCAGTTTAGTTGACCTGTTGTTGTGTGGTGCTGCCATGATGTATTTTCTGTCAGGTGAAATTTACACATACTCCACTTGACAGGAACAGTTAGACACAAGGATTTCCTAAGGAGAAACTTCCTCATGCAGTGGGTGAGGATTATCATTTTTCTTTTGGTCATGATGGAATTTCCAAACTCTTCTCGTTAGAGTGGAACCTGCCTAATCCGTCAGCCTCACTGGCCTGCCCCAGTGGAACAGGAGAACTTTGCTAATATGTGCTCCAGTGAACTGCAAACTTGAAAATCTTTCAGTGCAGGTTTGCATGTTTCCACTTCCCAAGATGCAGGTTAGCAAGGCTCTGACTCCTATTAAATGTAAAGTGCTAAAATAAACAAACAGTCAGGTAACTATCAATAAAAGTATTTGCAGCATCCAACTTGGGCTTCACATATTCCTATCGTCTTTAATGCATATGGCAGAGCAAACCAGGAGATGGCATAGAAATTTTCAGTTCAAGAGCAGGTTATCCAAATGTAGCTGGGGAGTGTGTGGCATCCCAGAGAGTTTAATCAGAAATGAAGTCTTGTCAGTCAAGCACCTGGAAGAATCGGCTGCCTCAGAGAAGAGGAGATTGAGTGTCTGACAGGAAAATCCCATTTAGGGCAGGAAGGGTGTACTTGCCAACAGTTGCAATTTGTCCACTACAAGAATTTCTTCATTGTGTCCAGCCTCTCACTCCTCCTTGTCATGGGCAACAGGGTATGAAAAACAGTTGCTGAAATTCTCTCCAACAGCTACTAGAAACAGTTGCTTCAATATTTGATGAAGTTCTCAGAGGCTGCCTCTCCTTTCCCTGTCTACTTATCACTGAATCCAATGTTTGCTTGCTATTGCTCCTCTTTTGAGCAGACCTTTTAGGACTGAGAAACCTATGGTTAAGGCTTTTTCTGACACAACAACTTCTTATGATGGACTCCTCAGGATTAACCTAACCTTTCTTTTGGGGAATATTGCCGAGATGGAAGTACCACCTATCAGTAAGGTAGTACCTGATTCTTCCCATTACACTATCCTGTTTCACTTGATTATAACTGCAAAACTTTAACGCTTTCTGCTGAAACATTAGATGCAGGTGTCTGCCTCAAGCTGTCTTTTTTTTTCTTTTTTGAAGTTCAGCCAAAACAATGCATTTTTTTTTCAAAGAATGTATATGGGGAAAAAATACCATTTTGTCTATGTGAAAAATCCTGGCAACTTTTTCTTTAGATGTTTCCAGTGACCCCATGCTTCACAGTGTAGTAGGCACTTGATAGCTAGCAGGTAGTGGACTTCTGCTGAAGTGCCTTTTGCTGTCCATGTGAACATTTGTCCAGATCTGATCAAATTATAAGCATTTGAAAACTGAAGTTTGCATGTGGTCCTTAGAGATTTCAACACGTAACTTCCCTGAAGTTTCTGTCTGCACTGGCCAGGATGGGCAGGATTTACCCAGAAATTGCCGGAGTGGCCTGTTGCAGGCTGTAGTGTGTCCAAGTTGAAGCACATGAACTGAAAATTGGGAGCCTGTTTCTCCTGTACACTTAGTAATCCCCCTGCTAAGTTCAGGCAGTGGAGGGAGAAACTGCTTGATTCAAATGCAGAGATGAAAGAAGCTTCACGTGCAGAGGACTGGGGCTCATACAGAGTAGAGGGAAACTAAGTGCATGTGTTGGGGGGTGGGGGTCAGGAGTCTGAACTGGGTGTATTTGGTGGGGGCTGTGACTAGATGGGTACTGAAAAGACTGAGGCTGAGTACAGATGTTCATTTCTACCAGAAGAAATGTCTTCCATTATAAAAATAGCCTGGGAGCTGGACTGTATCGGCAGTGCAAGGTCTCCAGCCAAGGGGCAGTTACGGAAGCCCATTAATTGGCAGCCTGTCCTTTCCCCTGCCTGGGAAGGGGACAGGCTGTCAAGTGGCAGTTGGCAGCTGCTGAAAAGCAGCAGCTGTCCCTGAGAGCTGAAGGAGAATTCCTCTACCATCCCACTAGTCAGCTGATTAGCAGGAAGGGGAGAATAGGAGAAGGATAGCTTCACAGGGGAATAGCTCTATTCCTTGTACTCCTCCAGGCTGACCTGGACTAAGAGTAGGACTGATAACTAAAATAACATCATGCATTCTTGTCCTGGTTGTGACCCTGACTCCACCATTGATTGACTTAACTTTTCTATAGAGTTGTTCCAATAAAGGAAATTACCAGCTAAATCCTGCTTTTATCATATACCCTGGACCATCATGGCTGCAAAAATAGTGTAACATTAACCTTAATTATTCTGTCTATAAATTGAGGCTGATAATACTTAACTATTTCCTGGGTCCCCTCTGTTTCCCCATCCCCAGTTATCCCATTTTATCCTGCTGGACACTGTACTAATGAGTCTGTAATAAGAAAGAAGCACTATATTAACTCCCTGCTTAGTAGCGCACTTTCAAGTAAAGAGGAAGAAGTGCTTTGCATCTGTGCATAGTTCTGTATACCCATCACCCTTCTGGGCAGGCTGCTCCAATACCCTACAAGGAAGCAGCCTGCTGATAAGGTAGGTAATATAATGAGAGTTAGCATAGAAACATTGTATTATTAAGATAAGCTCATTGTATTAGGAACTGCAGGTGGCATTTGCTCATGTGATGCATATGGACTAAAAGTCTAACTCAGGGAATTTGCCAAAAGTCTGGGCTTACCTTCCTTGTCTGTTGATTAAAATTAACAATGCCAATCTTTTCTTATCATCTTCCAGGGGAGAAACCATTCAAATGTGATGAGTGTAACTTTGCTTCTACAACACAGTCACATCTGACACGACATAAGCGTGTCCATACTGGAGAAAAGCCTTACAGATGTCCCTGGTGTGACTACAGGTAATGAGACATTAACAATAATGTGACAAGAGAAGGGTTAAGGTACTCTGATGAGGTTAATTTGAAGTCACCAGTAAAAATATATTGCCATTAAAACACCATCAGTGCAGCAGTAATTGCATATTAAATTAGGAGTTAAATTTAAAATCTGAATCTCAGTATTTAGGTATTACTTTATAAAGAAAAAACAAATGATGGGAAACCTTTTAATGATAACAGTATAATGCTAATGCTGAGTGTTTGTTTCACAGCTGCTCTGGTGTCTGTTAGAATTCTCCATGGTGAGAATACTTATCTGCATTGCCATTTCAAATCAGCTGCAGTTTTGAAATTTTTCTCGGTTGAGTTGCAGCTATTCCAGCAAGAAAGAAAAAGTCCCTACAAAAGGCTTAGCAGCCTCAATACCCATCAAACACTTAATAGAAGTGGAAGCAACTGGAGTTAGTTAACGCATTGCTGAGTCTGGGGTTTCTGCTACAGTTTTTCCTTCTGCTTGCCAGCCTACTATATTAAGTGAGGGCACTATGATGGGCAAAGTCTCATGAGATGCATCAAAAGCCATCTTATTTTGGCAGTGTCATGGCTACATCATTGCTTAGGAAAATAGAAAGTTAAGATATGTTCATGCCTTATGTTCATTATAACATTCAGTATTAAATGATCATATAGCAAATTCATTGCAATAGATCATTTTTATGCCACCTGGAATATATTCAGCATGTTATAGTTCACAGTACTACATGCTGTGTACTGCTTTGTATCTGCCACAGCAGAGACTATAGGCAGAATCATTCCAATATGACTTTACAAGAATTAACTTCCAAAAATTAAAAAAAATCAGTAGTCCATTTGAAAAATAGTATGTAATTAAAAATTCTTAAAGTGCATGTACCAAGCAGGGGGAAGGCAAGCATGCCAGTACACTATTTATTAATTAATTAATTTTTTTTTACTTTGGTGAGCTGACCATGTTCCTTATTTAAAACTAATATTGAATGGAATGTCTGCAACTGAAAAGGGCAAAAAATACAAACTTGAAGCTAGGCACTACTAAAACATTTTTTTTACATGTTAGATGTGATAGATGGAAGGAAACTCCAGACCTGTTAGGGAATTGCACAGTTTCTACTCTAAGCTAGTAAACAGACATTCACTTTTGATTCCTGCAGTGGCCCAGGCAGGAAGCCAGGGAGTGCTAAAGCATGCTTCCCTGTCAGCTGGAGCAGACAGCTTGGGCCAAGGCTACTCTACCCACCCTTGAGGTGAGGGAGGGGAGGTGCAAAACATCCTGGGATGTTTGGGAGACTGTGAATCTGGAAGTGATCTGGGACAAAAGTTCAAAGAACTGATTTAATCTAAATCAGTTAAGTCTGATACTACATCCATCCAGGTTGATCGTAAACTGGTTCTGGCAATTTTGAAAGCAGTTTATGTGCACTGAACTTCTGTTGCTTTACAGATTTGAACTGGTTTCTGGTCACTTATATTGGTTTACATGTAATTTCTGTCCCTAGCCTAAAAGGTGCAAAATGAGAGCACCTTGAAGTAGCAGATGTCTTTCCTTTGACTTCATTAGGCTTTGGATCAGGTTAGGAGTGGAGCAGGGTTTTATGATGAGTTCAGTGTCTCTGAATGTTGACCTTAAAGCATGTGCGTTGCAGAAGGTGATGGTGGAATGAATATGGCAAAGCACTTAATGAAGGGAGGAAAGTCCCCCTTTCCAGTGTCCGTGACAAGGGACATAGACTAGCAGTCCTTGCATTGGTCCCTACTCAAAGGAATAACCTCAATAGATCCAGTTAGGGGATGTGGGAAAGGTTATGATTATCTGAAGAGATTCATTTGAAGTCACCAGTAAATAGGAATGCTGCTTACTGATCACAGTAGTAAAAATTGATCAGCTAGAGTCCACAGTAGACAAAGTGGATGGCCCTTATGGAGACTTGCCGTTTTCTTTTCCCACTACAGAACATGCAGACTTTAAATAATTGTATCTTATAATATGTACAGTGAACAAGGCACAGCTGCTGGCCATAATTTTTCCCAAGGACAATTTCCAGCGTAAGGTAGAAGTCCCATGACACTTCATACTTCTATTAAGATTCTAATATATTTATAGTTTCTTTTTCTTTTTTAAGAGAAGAAACAAAGGAAGAAAAATAACCTCTCATCCAAAATACCCTCTGGTCGTCTCCATTCCCCCTTCTTATTTGGGAATGCTTTGTCCATTGACAGTAACATATCAGTCACTCTCATGGACCAAGGGTGACCTACTCTTCGTTCCTGTGATGGGTGTACTCCTTTACGTAGAAGCTTATGCTGCTTGAGTCTAACAGGAAGTTCCTTCTGAGCTGTGAGAGGTAGCTGGCATAGATGCAGGGATTTAGAGTTGTTGCTGCCATTGAGAGAGGCAGAGAGGCACCCTGCAAGGCTGCTGGGGAGCCAGGAGTGGGTTTGCTGTGCTTCAGAGCACAACAGCCTTACATCTGCCTGCCAGCTTCCATAGTCCTGGGATATTAGCCAAGCCTGTTGGCAGTTATGTTTTCTACACTCCATCCACCTCTCTCCCTCCCTCCCTTCCTGTCTCTCTCTCTCCCACTCCCTCCCCACTCTCTCTTTTAAAGTGGCTAACATATTGCCCTCCTCTTAATTCCCCCATTCTCCTCTCTTTTCAGGAAATGGTATTGGTGACTCAGCAGGTGGTGCTCTTCACACTGATTCAATAGTAAACCAAAGCCTCAGGATGCACTATTCTGCTGTAGGTGTCTCATACATGGGACATAAAATCAAGGCATTAACTATTTGTAGGCATTAGAAAACACTTTTTGCAGTAGTAAAAATATCAACCATTTTGTATGCTGGTTAAACCCTTACTGAGGTAATTATATCCTGCTATTCTATTGTTAGCTCACCCAAACATGTACTTCAATGGTTGTTGGACTCCTTAGATATTGCTGAGTGGTAACTCTTAACAAGTGCAAACTGTCTAAATGATGATCATTTTAGCTCCAATGGGATAGATTTTCTTCACTTGGTGTGTGGAAATATAGAATAGTGTTGCAGTTTTAATACCTGTATGCATTCCAGATAGTAGTTTTGGACATTTTTTGGATGAAAGGACATTTAACTGTGTCTCAATAGAATATATTTTACATCTTTCTCTGATCAATTCATTAGTTTTCTGGTGTCTCTTAGAAATCAAAACTTAAAGCGTTTTGCTGCTTTGGGATGATATCATTATTATTCAGTATATAAGAATACTTGCCAGTGAACGAAAGGCTAGTTAACCTTGACTAGGAGTGTAAGAACAAATGCTAATAAAAGAAACAAATCTGAATTTAGAAACTGTTGTTATTAGAATGTGGAATATTTTTGTAACTATACAGGCACATATCACTTGTCTTTTTCTCTTAGCAGCAAAAACTAAAGTGGAATAGACTATAAGATACCCAGGGAAAAAGATTGTTTTTGGCTGCATAGAACAGAAAGGAGAAAATATTCTCTATAACTCAGTCAGCAAGGGAAATTCCTTTTTTAACCAGCGAAGACTTGAAGGGCTGTGGTTTGCCCAAGTGAATGCTAACTACTTCAGACATTTATCACACAAATTATATAATTCTTAATATAATATGTAGTCTCCAGAAGAAAACAAATGTAAAATTTCATCATATTTATCATATTGGTTTGTTTATATAACCTAAGTTTATGATTATAGTTAAAAAATTGTGCAAATATGCTATCTTAGATTTTTAGTCATTTGCATTTTGACCTTGTGATATTTACTTTTATTCCTCCAAATCTATTGCATATAAATTACATTACCTGAATGACAAATAAATGATCTTCTAATTTTCAATATCTGACAATAGTGTTCAAGTTCTACCAGCAATGATAATTATTTATGAAATAAGGAAAAACCTTAAAAATGAGCAATTCTCATATGGATTTTTTCATAAAAGTGGATAATTGGTATTTTCAGCCTCTGTGTGTGTGTGTGTGTGTGTGTGTGTGTGTATATTTCAATTTTGTCCTATTAATTTAGCTGATGACACTTCACTCTATTTAAATATAAAAATATATGCTTTTCCCCTGCGTTTACTATCTAAAATCACAATATGTCCCTCCATTATTAAATCAATGCACTTCATCATACAAAAAAATTTATTCACTCTTAATTAATGTTCACCACAATTTTATAGTACAGAATTGGTCTCATAGGGCCCTCTTCCACCATTACTTATGCAATGCTTATCTAAGATTTCTATGTCACTTAAGAGAGATGTGTTATGTGGCTAATCTTTTTAAATTGCATGAAATTGGTGTTCTACTGACAAAAATATTGTTTGCATTTCATAATGGGTACAGTAACAAGTAAGAAGTCGTATAACTTGCTGAAACTGGACTAGGTCTATGAAATTTAAGTAATAAAACCGTTAAAATTATATTCCAAGGCCAGAGTTTTCAAACCTGGTTCCTAAAGTAAGGGTTCATATTTAGGCACCTAAGCATTAATAACCAGATTTACAAAAGTATTGAGCTCCTTTTAATTTCCAGTGAAATCAGTGGGACATGCAGGTACTCGAAATCTTTTGGTGCTCGGAAGTTGCTTTCACATTAATTGAAATGTACATGTAGGAGCCTAATTTTCATCAAGCAGATTTCATATTGTAAACCTGAGTCCCAGTAGAACCTATTGTTTCATATACCTATCATTATTAGTCAAATAACAGTATATACCCACTATACAAAGAATGTACATCTTAATGCAAAAGAGACGCAGGTTAATAAGTTTTAAGATTATTTGAGGCACAGGCCTGCTTTTCTAGCACACCAAAATCTCCCAGTGAAATCCATTGGAGTTTTGGGGACATGAACAGAAGATCAGACTTGTAATATGTAAACCACACATCTCTGTAATTTACTGTGACCGTGAGATATCAGGACAGGTATAATAACTTACTATAAGTCACCGGTGTTCTTAAATTAAAGAGAAAGACACT